CTCACGTCAGCAGCACTGCAGCCCCTGCAGCAGGTGTATCCTGAGCTCAGTAAAGCAAAGTAAGCTTCGTGTGTCCATCCAGCAAAGGAACCACAGGAGAGTTTTATTTAGAAACAGGCTCCGTCTTTAACTTAGGGCAATCGTGCTCTTCAGCCACCTCCAGCAGAAAAGTGGTGCTGGGAGGGAACAAAATCATGGCACGGAAGAGTGCTTACTGTCAGAGTAAAACCTCAGCGAAACACAGAGATCCAAAGTCAATTGAACATCAAGGCTTTAAAAATGGCTACCAGGAAAAAATTCTTGAGTCTGTTTTTCTCATAGTCAGTCTCCTCCTAAAGAAGAATAAAAATACCTGTCTGATTTCTAGTATTTTTTATCAAAGAAGCATCAGCTGCAAAATTTACTACAGAATAGATAAAAGTATAATGCAGTAGATCCAAATGGGACCTGATAAAGAGCATGACATAAAGAAAAGCCTTAAAGCACGTCAACATTTACATATGGCAGGCTGGCCTGACAGACAAACCTACGCATTGAAGTGCATTTATTTTTATGTCTCTCTCTATATCGTGCTTGCAGCATCCCTTCAGACAAAGGAGACATCCCCCTTTCAACGATGATTTGTGCCAATGAAGATGATGAACCGGACAAGCCTCTAATGAGCCCGTGGAGCGCTGCCCATTCAGCAGGCACGGCGGGCCCACGGGGCGAGGATGAAAAGAGCAGGGGTTGCGGGAAGCATTTATGAGGAGCCTGCTGAGAAGATCATTAGAGCCACTTGCATCCATCCCATGCTGCAGCACACTCACAGGGTGGCCTCAGAAGGCAGTTTGGCCGCGCACCAGTGGGCAGCTGCATTTTTAAGCGGACCCCCGTGTTAAGGAAACACTTCCCATGCTCCAGCATGAGCTCTGCCATCTGTTGGCTAGCTCGTTTATCACCAACTAAGCTTGAAAAAAAAAAAAAAAAAAAAAAAAAAAACAGGAACTGAAATGATGCAAAAAGCAAATGTCCTGGGGGAAACAGCATTTTGTGTTTCCCACAGGGAGCAAGAACTTGTGCACTTTAGAAGTGCCTGCAACACTAAAAGAGAGAGAATAAATGTTAGAATGGATCAAAACCATAGAAAATAAAGAAAGCAAGCTGCTTCAGAAAGGCTAAGTAATTGAGATTTTTAATGTCAAGCCTGCATGCTGAAAAACACCTCTTAAATCCTCATTTAAGGAGCTTCAAATAATTGAGGCTTTATTTAAATAGCCTGCCATTAAAATCCAGTGAAGATCAATAGGAAAAGCCTATTAGGGCCATGGTGTCTGCATCTGTAATGGCTGGTCCCCGCTTTGTGACTTGTCTCCCCGTGGCTGCCTACGGCAAATTTCACTTCATTTTATAAATACTGATATTTTTTTTTATTATTTTTTCCAGAGAGACACAGACAGGGCTGGTTTCCTCTGATGGAAACCCTGGACCACCGGCCTGGGGGAGAGGGCAGCGGGATCCTGGTGGGCTGCAGAGCACAGGGGTGGCAAAGCCTCCAGGATACTGCTGCCAGCCTCGACTCTGCCAGAGGAGCAAGGTCACCTCCAGAAGCAACAAGTTGCTGCCATGCCTCCTGCAGGGCTCTTTTGGACTCTCTACAGCAGCCCCAGACCTTGCCTCTTGCCCTCTCACAGGACGAAGCTTTCAGTCCTGTAACTGGATGCAGGCACAGCAGTGGGGAGCTAGCTGCAACACCGTTTTTCTGTCATTTTGAAGCCGACTGAGGAAATGGCTGTGCTAGAGTGAAAGCAACAGCCTGCAAGGTTTTGAGGAAAGGCAGAAAGTGTAGAAGGTGTGGAGGGAGGGAGGGTGCTCTATGTCAAAGAGCACTATAAGAAGAAGGCATGAGGATAGGTCTGTTGAGTGCCTTTGGGTCAAAATCAGAGGTGTCACCCTCAAGGGACAGCTCTCGGTGGATTTCTTCCGTGGGCCAACTGATCAGGAAAGAAGAATGGGTGAAACCTTCTTCAGACCACTCCAAGACCAACAGCAGCAGCCTTGGCTGCAGTGATGGTAAGGGCACAGAGGTGAACGTCCTCAGGGGAGTGACGAAGGTAGGTAGCAGAATCAAGGCCCAGCGCTTCAGAAGAGCAGATTTCAGCGTGATCCCAAGAGGGCCTGGGAGCCAAAGGAGCTCAGGAGTGTTGGGAGACTTCTGGAGACAGCATTCTCCAAGTACAAGAGCGGCTCATTCACGTAAAGTGGAAAAGGAACCGGCACAGAAACCAGTCTGGTTAAATAGTGAGCTACTGAGAGAACGGAACTGAAACAAAGCAAAACAATACAAAATAAAATCAACCAACCAACCAAACAAAAAAAAAAAAAACAACATCTGGAGCCCAAACTTCCAAGGGATGTCAAAAGCAGCAAGAAAGTACTAACACAGTTAGTTAGTTACAAATGACAGAGGAAAACCTGGAGGCTTTCCTTCCTGCCTTCTTTGCCTTGATCTTCATGAGTAAGGTCAGCCTCCCAAGTCTCTCTGGAAGCAATGATGAAGCAAACGGTGAACTCCTGACAGTGGAAGAGTTAGCGGAGGTAGGTGCTGGCTTTTCCTGGCTCTCTTCTTGTTCTTCGTGCCTGGAAACAGCTTCTAAGAGGACCTGTTCCATAATTCTTCCAGAGACTCACGAGAGGCTGACTCATATGTACTTTCCCAAAACAGTTTTGTTTTTTTTTGTTTTGCACTTTTTGTAGTTGGGTGTAATGTTTGCCCTTTTCCAGTCATCTGGGACTTCCCCTGCACACCGTGACCTATTAAAAATGTTAAAGTGTGGCTTTGTAGGGATGTTGGCCTCCGAGCAGCCTCAAATACGCGCTGCCAAGTCCCATCGATTTGTGTAGCAGGTCCAGCTTCTACAGGTCAACCCTGGTGATCCCGAGCTTTGCTCACCTTGGCAGATTTACTTGGGAACCTTACATATGCTTGCCTGGAACTTGAAATCAGGTGCAATTTTGTGTATGATCAGCTGCAAATAGCGTACAGAAATCCGAGATTGTCAGCAGAAACATACGATGGATGCCACAGACCTGTCGGCTTTGAAGCTAGCAACACCCGGACACCCATCAAGTGGTCAAGCAGGCTAAAGAATATGGATGTCTTCAGCCAAAATAAATATGTCATAAGTATTCAAAAGAAGAAAAATGCAGTTATAAAACACACCTAATCAGACACTCTGGGGTACTCAGCCACCGCAACAGGGTTCCTTCATGTTCCTAAGGGCCCTGGAGGGTACACACACAAACTGCGCACTGCCCATTTTTAAATTGCTGGGTAGAAAGGGCTTGAAGATATAACCAAGGCTGAAAATAACATTTATTCAGCTGAAGTAAATCATCCCATATGTGGTGAAATTGGCAAGGACATAAGGTGTGACAAAAAAAACTACAAGAGAAGGAAAAAAAGGAAAAGAGAGGGGAATTTCTCCTGCACTATCTCCTCAGGTAAGGACACCGTGTGTGATCAGCCACGCCATTCACACAGCAGCAGTTCCTCCTCTTGGCTTGAGGGGGAATTGCTGCTTTTTGATTTGCCCTTCACGATTCTGCTAACGTGGACTCAGCAATCGTATGCAAAGCAGCCTCTGTTAATATGCAATTGGGTTAGACAAACTGGAGTTACACGCAGCTGATGTGTGCTCCGCTTCCACCTCCCCACTCAGCAAGACGACTGACACCGCGGCGCCGCGGCAGAGCGAACTCGTAGGGCAGAGCTCTGGGAGAAATCATGTATTGTACAGAAACAACTCACTCTTTAGAAATGATGACAGCCCCACAGAAGAGAGGAGAAGCACACTGACAACAACCTTTTAGCCTGAGGCATTGCTCGGTCCCATCGGCACCTGGCATCCTCAGGCCCCTGCTTCAGCAGCCTCGTGGTTGCCGTCACCGTCAGCGTGACGAGATGATCAGCTTGGGTTTTGCTGGAGATGCTGAGCCAAAGGGAGAGCAAATCGCTGGCATCTAGCACCTCGGGGTGGCAGCGAATCCTCACGGACCAGCCTGTGCCAGGCAGAGCCCTCAGAGGCCCACATCTGTGAGTGGGAGCACTGCAAGGCGCTGCCCTGGGCAGGCCGTGGGGACTTGGCTCCACACATGTGCCTTTGGGGTCCGTGTGGAGGTATCCCCAAGCGTCTATGACAGGGAACAGCCATCTGGAAGGAGGCTTGGAGAAGGGGCTTGTAAAGCACAGAGTGGTTCGGCCTTCCTCACAAAAAGCCTCAGGAAACTTGGCCGAATACATTTCAATTTTCCAGTGGCTATAATTTAAGCGTCTATTAATAATGTATATTACATGCTCCAGAAATAACTTCTCCACACAGAGAATTTGCAGCCACTTCACCACGTCCACTGGCATGTGCTGACAGCAAGGAATTCTCCAAACGCTGTGGATGGTTTTTAAGGAGGGCCTGGGGGGAGACTGCTGCCTAATTTGAGTGGATGTCTCTGATAAATGTGCAGCCCTATTACAACACCCGCGTAGCACAGAGCCAGTTATTGTGCATATTGATCTTTAATCCCATAATTGCTTTTCATGGGGGTCAGAAGGGCTGCTCCAGCACCTTAGAGCTAAAGACTGCTGCTCGTTTCCCCATGGATATACACAGAGGTATTGCGGCCTCTCCAGGCCTCAAGTGGCTGCTTTTCAAGAGCACCTGGCATATCCGCCACGGATAATGCATCTTGTGGACTCCTCAGACTGAAAGACTTTTAAAAATGCATGCTGTGCAGGATGAAACTTCGGGAATAAACTGGAAGGAGGGTGCAGTTCTCAGCAGTAAAACCTTACCTCATTCGGTGTGTGTGAGAGCTCCTGCTCGATTCTGCATGTGTGCCTGGCCTCACTTACTCTCCGCTGCAGAAGGTGCCGGGGGAGGGAGGGAGGAAGGGAAGGAGGAAGGAGCACTTTTTCTTAAAACAATTCCACACACGAAAAAAAAGGTTACGAAAATCTAGCCAGGAACGTTTTTATATTCACAATTTATTTATTTATTTATGTCAAAATGAGCACGGGCATATAATGATGCGTTTGATTCCCCCCATTATTTCAAATCTTTGCTCTTTCTCCTGTAGATCTTCAAGATTTTTATTGTCATTAATTACCAGTATTACTATAGCAGCCAGAAGCCTCCGACTTAGTGCCCAGTGTGTCGGGCAGCATTGTACAAAGAGGTGTTAAAAACCAGCCCTTGCTCCAAAGTGACAGCAAACGAAATCACGAGGGTACAGAAGTCCCTGTGGGGTCCTTGTCGACGCAGCCAGGCAGAGACCCAGGGTAACACGCAGCGTGCTGATGAGTGTGATGTGGTTTCTTCGCTTTTGGGCAGGCTCTGGAGGTAAGAAGAATCGGATCTACCATTTGCTACAACTCGGCCTCAGTGCTGAGATCGTGCTGACCCTTTCCTTCATGCCTGGTGATAAATCTAGTGTCAAACCCTGCTCAGTAGGATCCTGCCATCTGGGAGGCGAAAAACATGCCCTTCCTGAGGAGCGGTGTCCTGGGTTAGCCCTTTCCAGGAAAACACAACTGAAAACATGAAGTGGGAAAACATTTGCACCAGCCTGCATGAACCCGATGTGTAGCTCTGCTGCCTCGTCCCTGTTGCACCAGGGTACAGCAACAGGCCAGAAGAGGCTACGGAGAGGTTGTTACAGGATCCGGCAGGAGAAACAGAACAATACCACAGATAACACAGCCTCGGTGGCACACCTCCTTCAAAGAGGCAGAGGTAGCTTAGGCCATCGCTCAGTGGGACAACCTGCTCAGCCTGGCTGAGTCCAGGGGAGGATGCTCTGGCTCTCGGGAGGCCGCACAGAGGTGAAAAGGAGCCTGGCTGTTCGCACACCCTTCCCCCAGCCACCCAAGAGACAATCTTGCATGTGTGTGCCAAGCTTTACATCCCAGATATACAAATAACGCAGAATTATTCTCCTGAGAGGTGATGGTGGCTTAGCCCACCCTTCTGGTTCCTGGATGAGAAGTTCATCCAGATGATCATTTTCAACCTGAATGACTCCATGATTGTACAGTGGTCACCCTGTTAGCTTCCTAATTTCTCTTCACCCCCAGAGCAGTACTGCTGCGAACAGGGCAGCTAGGTGGTAAACCCCTCAGCTTTCTAACCTCCAGGGAGAGGAGCCCTCCCTGCCAGGGATCTTTTCAGTCAGGGCAGATGAGATCACGCTCAAGAGACCCCTGTGCTATCTGGTAGGAAACGCAGCACTGATCCTCCTGAAGGCTCAGACTGGAGAAAAACTCCTGCAGCTCTCACACAATGCAGAAGAAAATCAGAAAATTACCCCACGTCAGGAAAACATCAAAAATATCAACATCTCCTTTTGGGATTTCCCTGAGTCTCTGTTCCCTTCACCTTTACTCTCCACGGTGGCTGGTGGAGGAGGCTGGAGGATACAGGACCTGAACAAAAGCCAACCGAGTAGCCGAGGCCCTACTAACGACAGCTACTCCTGTCCTTTAAACCCACCCCCCTGGTCCCATAGCTTGTCAGCTCTTAGTGTGCCAGTGGTTGTGCTCCGATTGCAGCCCAGACAGGCTGAGCTCTGGAAATAGTTTTGTGCTGCCCAAATAATGTTGTGCTTACTAATTAAAACATCAAGGGGAAAGACAAATCTGTTTGGGCAGATGAAGGAAGACGTATCTGACCCTGACCAAACTCTCCACCTTCAGGCGCTCTCCTGTCACTCGGGAAGTGTCAGCAGCTACTTGTTCTAGATCCTTCCCCCACCTGCTGGCAGTTCTGTGGCTTAAACCTCAGCGACATGATTTGTGCAACAGCATGCCTGGCGCACGTCACTCGTCTCTAGCTTCAGGGGTCTGACTTGCTCTGGGGAGATGCAGTACGGCCGAGGTGAATCAGGGTTCAGAACTATAAATGCTCTTTGCTCAGGACTAATCTGATACGCTTTCAAGGCATCTCGGTGCTGATGTGCCCGTTATTGCAGGCCGGGTGGCGCTAACACACGCTCACACCCACCAGTTGGCAAGGGGCAGGCACAGATCCTGGCTTCTGCACTGGTTTAGGACTGGAGCACCCGTTCCTTTGGGGAAGGGCTGGAGGCACCCACCCGATCCCTCCACCAGAGGTATCGAGGAGGACCAGGGCCCCGTGAACGGGTTCACCTGGCACAGCTACTAAATTCCTGCCCAGTGGAAAAAGACAAAACCCACAACAACCAGGCAGTGCCTGGGGCCCCTTCCAGCACGCTGCCCCCTCTCCAGGAGGGGACACCCGGTGATTCACAACCTCCCCCTCGCCAAGTCCCCCAGCCTGAGGGCTTCCCGGGAGGGTTCAGCCCTCTCCCAGGGGACCCCAGCGGCCTCCGAGGAAACGAAGAACCCGTCGCAACAAAACCGGGATTCGGGGCGGACCCCCTGGCGGGCCCTCAGTTCAACACCTTCTCCGAGGAGTGTCCCAGCCTCCCCTCCTCCTGCACGGGCTGCGAGGCCACCGTGGTGGCGGCCGTGTGGTGGTGCCCCCCTCGTGTGGTGGCGGCCCCCAGGGCGTGCAGCTCGGCGCACTTCTCCTTGTAGTGCTGAGCGTTGCCGGCAAAGGTCTCGCAGCGGCTGGGGTTCTCCTCCTGCACCGGGCTGCCCACCGTCTCCGAGGCCGCCCCCGACGAGGCCGCTGCTCCCTCCTGGGAGTTTTGGCTAAGGTAGACGACGATGATGTCCCCCTTGAAGTTCATCACTTGCCCGCTGGAAATAAACGTGGAGTTACTGTTTCCAGTCACGTTGCCTGGGGAGGGAGCGGGGGAGAAAAGAAGACAGGCGTGATTAATATTTTCTCTCGTGAGGCGGGTGCTTAGCGCGGTGGATGTAACCTGCCGCGATGGCTTTGCTTTTTTGTTCCAGTATTTCTACCCCGTGACACAGGGATGCTCTTATCATCAACGCCTCCCACGGGGCTCCCTCATGATTTCCACCTGTGCCACCTCGGGACACTGCCTGCCACCCTCTGGGAGCCGTGTGGAGAAGTTTTCCCTCCACACCACACTCCTGCCAGCCAGAGCAGGCAAGATAACCTCACCTCCCCATGGCCTCCGGACGCTTGAGATGCTCCCAGGCCGCCTCCACACGCAGTTTGTGAGGAAACAGCTATCATTTCTCATTCCTAGATGCCTTTTAGAGCCCCAGGCATCACACTGCTTTTCCCCCCCTCAGTAAGCAATCACTCCTGTGGTGCGGGCCAGGCAGCAGGTTTATGGAATAAATCCTAAATGGCTTAATGTCAGGCCTTGCAGAATGACACCGAGCTTATACGATTATCTTTATTGTCCCATCTCCGGCCCTCACCCAGTGCCCTCGTGGATTTAACGGGATATATGCTGGCTATGGGGAAGGCAGAGTCTATAACACAGCAGCCTAACAGGGTTACGGCTTCGGTAAGTCTGCCTGCGGCTAGAGGCTTCTCAGCATAAATCCAATCTTCCTCTCATTCAGGACTGGGTCACAGGACCGGGCTCTGGGAATTAATAAACTTCCCTTGGAGTGGAAAGCAAATAACTGAGAACAAAGTTGCAACACCGAACCAACAAACTTCCCTGAAATTAAACAGCAGTAACCAAAACAACCAAATAAATCACCCTCATAGCCCACGAACACTTCTCTTCAGATTTTTTATCCCGCTGAGCTTGGCTTAACCACGACCTGCAGACTGACCGTGCCCCTCGCAGACGTTTTGTGCTCTCCTCAACACTCGAGACGTTCACAGTTTGGCTGCAGCTGAGCGTGGCCCAGCCTGGAGAAAAGCTCTGAGCTGAGCCACCACACTGCTAGCTCCCTGCCACCTTTCCAAGGTCTTCTGGTTAACGTGAGGTGTTGGTAAGCGTGCTTGCCACAGAGACTTCTCCCTGCCTGCCTCTCCTCCTGCGTTTGGGTTGTTTGCTGTCAGCCCGGCCCTGTTAGGCACCACGGGAGGACAGCAGTAACTGCTTGCTTTCCTACGGATTGCCTGCCACTCAAAAAAAGGCCCTGCAAAAGTCCACCAGTGCTTGGTACGAGATTAAGAGTCTGGAAATATCAGTGATGGACTAAAAGAAAAAAAAAAAAGGATAAACACATTTAAACTGTTTAGTTGAACGTAGCTAGCAATTCTTCACTGCTTCCTGTTTATGCTGAAACAAAAGTAAATGTGAAGGACAGAAGCACAGAAAATGGACCCAGGAGCTTCCTGGATTGCACTAAGAAACGTGCTTCCAACCTGAAAAGTGTAAGAGACACCGTCAGAGGGTAAGTGAAGGCAGACTTCTCTGCAGCATTTCAGCCTTTTGATCTCTTCCTACTACCCGATGATATTAATTACAATGACAGGTTAATTTCTGTGGTAATTATTCACTAGGAACTGGAACGATGTAGGCAAGTAATTTCCTCAGAGCCATCTAATGGCATCTAGGGGCTAGGAGCTGGTTGTCGCAGCTGAACCGGGCTGGTTTGGGCTCTGGAAGTGAAAGTCTCCACAAAACCATCCCCAGTGTCACATGAATCTTCAACCACTCGTGTCTGGTGCTGAAGCCCTACACAAGACGTGAGGTGGCTGTGATCCACATCCTGACTGCTGCATCTTCTGACTGCCTCCAGGGAGATGTAGGGTGCTGCCGGAAGGCTTCCCCCAATTGCTGTCCATGACCCCGTAATGGCACCTGTGCAGAGGTTTACTTTGGCCCTCTCAGGTCGTTTCACAGGAGGGGCAGAGTTTGCAATTTCTGTTGTCCTTCTGAATGCTAAGGAACCAAAACCAAAACTTCATGGAATTACCCCTGGCATTTTTCTTCCCATTTCTTCACCCACCCACTTTCAGGCAGTTCTGTCTTAGCACAACTGCGTGCAAAGCCCGGTGGCTACAGCTGCTTTGAGAAGCTTCAATAGAAAGTTATTTTGCACATTTATTCCATCTGGGCACCTCACAGGGCCCAGCAAAACGACTGATGCTGCTGCAGCTCCACACACAGCCCCAAATGTGAGCTGGGGCGCTTCAGTGAGGAAGCTCCTACTGCTAGGCCCTGTCCCCCTCCTCGTGCAACCAGGCCACAGCCACTCCAAAGGCTGGAAAATCCTCTGCCAGCAAGGCACCTCGGCTCCCAATCAACCAAACCCAAGCTCTCCTACTGCCCACTGCTCCCTCAGCACCTCCCCAGCCACGCCAAGGTTCTGGTGAATTGGGAGCGCTGGATCTGTGCTGAGGTGACAGCAGATGGCACTGCAGCATGTACGTACATACCCAAAGGCACAGATGCAGTTAAGATCACGCAGAAAGAACTGTGCTGTCGAGCTAAGATGGCACTTCCCAGCATCTCACTTACATCCAAACTCTCCTGCTTGCCTTAATGTTTCTTAATATTTTCTCTTCCTCTTCTCGAGAGATTTAGAAAGAAAAGCAGTACTTCTGCAGGGCCAGATAAGACTTGACTTTCAGTATTACCTCAGAGTCACCTTCCACAAAAATAAAATCCGTCTGCTCTTCTCTACTGTGAAGTTTTCTACAGATCAGGGAGCGAAACTGCTTCGAGATTTCAGGAAACTGAAGCAGTAGAAAGAGTATCTGCTCTTAGAAAGATCAAGGCTGCACGCTTTCAGGTTCTCGCACAGCTTGCATGCTTAGAAGGGAAGGGCCCTCCAAATGTCACTTGTGGGTCTTCAAAGTGTCACTTCTGGGCTTTGGCAGACTGACAAGAAGGTCTGCGTAAGAAGCCCTAAGGCATGGTGTGGTTTTAAAGAAGAGCAACCGCTTACGACTGCCATGTGTGTTACAGGAATACTCAGATGCCCCAGTCAAAGCTAAGGTCCCATTGCGCCCGGCAGCACACAGATACAAAAGCGGAGCATCTGTCTTTAAGAGGCTATAACCTAAAATGACTAATAACACATGACACGAAGATTGCAGACTTTTATACTGAAAGGTCTAAGGGAGGAAGGTTTTATCCAGAAAATGCTCACAACTTCCCTTCTGCTGGTTTTGCTTCAGTGATTCTTCTCCCTGCTTTCGTTTGACTATTTTGCAATATTCACTCGATTTGTAAATTAGTAGCCTAGTAAGCTCTGACATCAGTGTTTCAGAGCTGTTCTGGGGACAAAGTGCTTGCATGTGAAGAAACAAATGTATGTGTGAAATTATTCTTATGTGAATGTTTATACATTAGCGAATTAAAACAAAGAGAAAGAGCTAAAGGCCAAAAATTGACGATGGTCTCTCAGACCCAACCCTGGCCACCAGGTAACATCTCCAGCTGGAATTTTACTGATGGCCACGCGATTGTAACTGGGCTTCAACTTAACAGCCAGGACAAAGATGCACGTGCAGGCTGATGGATGGAAAAACACCCATCCAGGTTACTTGTCCCTTCTCAGCTCAGCCTCTCTTAGGTTTTCTGTCACACAAACACCCGCCACAGCACAGATTACGGAGTTACAGGACTGGCTGGCTTCTGCAGTCACATCAGAAGCTCTCCTAGATCAGCCCCTCTGGGTGATACCAAGCTAGCACAGAGAACAACCCTATACAGCTGTGTACAGGTCGAGCCTAGTGGACTCACCAGATGCTGGAGGGAGGTCTGAAGTGCTGCTGTTTGTCCCTGAAGTGCTTCTGCTTGTGTTCTGGTGCTTCGTGCTGGTACCCTCAGAAGATGCATCTTCCACACCATGGTCACTTGCTAGAGTGCTCTGACCAGCAGAGAGAAAATTCAAGCCACAGGTGCACTGTGCATAGGATCCAGTTTCTGGGGAGGCGGAGGCGCTGTCAACTGCAGCACAGCAGGGTTTGCTCCACTTTCTGGTAGAATCCCGGTACAAAACGCCACACCTTACACAGATCTTCTCTGAGTCATGGTTTGTTGCAAAACGATCTGTGTCTTTGCTGTCTATTTCCTTTGGGCAGCTGTGGGCATGCTGGTAAGGCTTCTGAAAGTACTTGTCCATGGCAGTGTGCGCACCATCTGCATTGCAGAAGGAGTCAGAGCCCTGAGAGACGGAGACGTCCTCACTGCTCCCCACCCCCGAAAAGCACTGGTTCAAGCTATCGTTCTCCCCGATCTCCACCGGCTCTGAAAACGATGACACAGTTTTACTGTCAGGCCGACTCAGCAGAGATAAATAATCAGCAGCATGGAGGTCTTTATCTGTATATTCATCTTCTGTGGGAACAGGCGGGAAATGGTCGTGATCGCTCTCCGTCACCACAGAAAGCTGCTGGAGGTTCCCCCCGGCCTCGTAGGGCGCCGTGCTGGGGCTGCTGTGAGTGCACGAGGTGTGAGCACCGGCACAGGATGCGATCCCGGGGGCAGGGCAGGCAGCAGGGCCCAGGAGACGCGTGTCTTCAGAGCCCTGGGCCACAGCGGCGATCGGTATGTTCACAGCAACGTGCGCATCTCTGGGGGGCTCCTGAAAGACATAGAAAAGAAAAACATGTTTAATAAATAAACTGGCAGAAGGTTGTTTTCTGAGCAAAGAAGGAATAGGCAATGTCTTCGTGTTTCCTCGGCGTGGAGCTGGCGGGGCTGAGCAGCACTGATGCATCTGAATCTTGAGAAGTGCAATTCTGTTCTGCTGTAAAACTGTGCCTGGCTGGGCTCTACCACTGCTCAGAAAAAATCTGGGGACAATAACATTAAACGGTGGGAGAAGGCTGTTCCTAGCTTTTAAGGATCACAGAATCATCTAGGTAGGAAAAGGCTTTCAAGATCATCAAGTCCATCCATCAACCAGTCGTCACGAGGGCACTTGAGGGTAAATAATCTTAGAAGTTGCTAGACTCTGCTGTTCCTCGTGGACCATCAATAAGCCCTACCTAATCCAACTGCTTATAAGGTTTATAACCCCCCTGAACAATCTATGCCTTTCTTGGTCTGTGGAGGCCTCTCTGGGAACAGAATCTTTATTATCAGATAAAAAAAAATACCACACAGACACAAGGCTGCTTTCACCTGGAAAAGGCTAAGACAACAAATGCAAAAGCCCATGACGTTACTTTCCAGCTATGCTCCACATTAAGCTGTGTTTTTGGTTGGAGCTCCACAAAAAAAGGCTTGGGAAACACTTCAAGGGTTCCCTTCGGTTCCTGCCAGTCATGCTGTAATGATGGGTATTTGGGATCTGCTACCTTTCATTTCGAGTATCTGTTTGCTTCTTCCAGGATGGAGGAGAGAGAGTCAATGCCGCCAGCCACTAATTGCTGTTGATTCACTCTTCTGTCCTGGGGGACCTAACCAGCTGCCAATGCAGGGCATTACAAGAACAGCTATGAGAAAAAAAGAGGAACTGCCTGCTCAAAATGTTGTTGTTGTTGTTTTCTTGGTAGCAATAGGATTTGAGCGTTGCCATAACTAAGCTAGACAGAGCTCCTAGACTGGCAGGTGGGGACAGCATGCGCCTGGGACCTGGGGAACCTCAGTCCAGTCCCCAGTGTGGATCAGGCAGTGCATAAACCTGTGAACAAGGATTTCTGCATGTGCTAGAACAAAAGGGACTCATGGCCATTTTCTTTAGCTGATGGCTGTGTGCTTAGTGCTTTGCATGTCTGGCATTCTTGGCACTGCCTCAGATCCAGGTTTCTCTTTCACGAGGACCCAGGTATGTAAAAAGGTGCAAACACAGCTGAGGTTTTTTCTGCTCTTAGGATTTAGAAAGGCTCTCTCCTAGGTAGAGTCTCAGGTGTTCAGTAACTCGTGGGCTCACGTTCAACCTTTTCCTCTTATAAACATTCAGTCTTCAAAGAGACTGTTGCCGCTGTTAAAGCTGGCTGAAACCAGACAGCAGGTTCAGAAGCTATTTGAGCGTGGTGATTTCATAAGCCTCACATTTACAGAAAACCAGACTAAAAAAGCCAAAGCTGTGAGTGGTTTTTGAGGAACTTAAAACATTTTTTTCTAGCCAAACATTATCATGGACTCTGGATTAAGGAGGAGTGTCAGGAATGTCAGGAGTGTCAGAAAGCCATAAAACAGAGAGAAAATTTTCATGTCCCTGACTTTACCTTTGTTCCTTTTATTTGGCTGCACACTTCATTAGCCCAATTCTGTAGATCTGCTGTAGGGAAAAGAAAAGAGTAGCTGTAAATTAGAGCAGGCGCTGGAGCTAGCCACAGACCTAAACACCCACAGTCACTCACTCACGATCCATAATATTACATTAAATAAAAACCAGCCAGGCTGTTGTTTTTACTGACTGTTCAAGTGTCCCAGCATCAGTCTAGCTGAGGATTCATTGTAACTGGAACAGAGAGATATTTCTGTGGAATAAATGTTTCCAAGCTCCTAAAATAGACTACGGTTAAGCTGTGTTCCACATCAAATGGGGTTTCTTTCCTGGTCATATGTCAGCACGCTATGACTAGCCTGATACCGACCCGCTTGCAACTGCACAGTCTATTTCAAGAGAAGTCACATGGATGGCCCAAAGACCATTCCCAGAAAGGAGCGAGGAGACTGGAGAGAGGAGGGTAAGCCACTGAAACCACGGGACGGCCGACTGGAATACAGCGTATTCCACTTAATCAAGATGTATTTAACTGAGAAACTCACTTTATCAGAGTATCTCCCAAGGAAAAGCTTCAAGTCCAATAATACTTTACAGCAGGGACTGCTGCTTAATAGAGCAAGTGACTCTTCTTGTTTTCTGTTCATGCTTTCAGGAGACTTTGCAGGGCTCAGGTCTCGTGTACACTTTAGGCTCGTGCTCGTTTTGTATGTCTGAAGATAGATCAGCTACGTAGCCACTGCCACTTCCCAGCAATGACTCTGTTCCTCTGAAGTGAGGTCTGCACATTTACCATCAGTCCCCAGGCAGGCAGAGCTTCTTCTCTGGGGCTCTAATTAGCAGGATTTACCACGTGAAGGCAATGAAGGACTGCCACTGCAGAGCAGCAGGGTGATAGGAATCTCAAATAAAGAGCATTCCCCCAACCTGCTCTGCATCGCAAGTATTTGGTTTGCAGGGAGAGTCACCATTTCCTCCAGCCCATCCCAGGAATTCCAGATTTAGCAAAACCCATGTTTAGTGTGGCAGAGGCAGCCTATTTCTAAAATATGGGTTGAAAAATACTTTACAAGAGAGGATTGCTGTCTTCCCTTCCACTGCTCCCAAAACATTTCATGAATTGCTGGGGTTTGGGAAAGGAGGTGAAGGGAAAAACACAGCAGGAAAAGCTTTCCATGGGAAAGAGGGGAGAAAAATAAAGAGAACAGTAAGCATTTGTCCTTCATTGTGAAGGCAGAGGGCTTAACACAGAGCTAAGTAACTGTTAGAGATACTTCTGTCATATTCATAATATATTCAATGCCCTAGTCTTATCCAGAATGTCTTTGCCAGAATTTTTTAATTTTTCTGTTGTTATTATTTGCTCTATTCCTTCTAGTATTTCTGCAGTGTCTCATCAGAGCTTTGTCCCTCAGATAAAACTATTGCCTCCGTTATGGCTCGAAACAAACATCAGTTCTGAAATCCGTATTTTAACCCACCCAGATGCGGGTTTCAGGGGAGGAAGGGAAGTGGGGAGAAGGAGACGGGAGGTGGTGAAGGCCCCGTGAGTCCCTCCCTGACCACGGGCTCTGCCGTGCCAGGCAGCGTGGGGGAGCCCTGCTGGTACAAAAAGACCCAGCACCACTCTCCATCGCCCACATCGTGCCCCAGTGGCAGTGGTTACCTGCGAAACCAGAGCACAAAGAGCCACGTGGCTGTCACATTCATACACACCAGCTACCATGTACCTGTCAGCTTTTTTCCCTTATTCTTGTAGTACACGATGAAGATGACAATGCCAATTAGGGCCACAAAAAACAAGATGACAATCAAGACGAACAGAATCTTGTTTGTTCCTGCAGAATATAAGAAAGACAGCACCATCAGCATGCAGCGTGTTCTCAGCAGGAGGACAATCCTTACTCATTCACTTATTTTTCCACACAAGGGGGACTTTTTTCTTCCTGATTGATTTTTCAGTGTCTGCAATAATGACCTCAGCTCCAGCACCCACGTAGCTCTGTGACAAGCAGCCCCACCAAAGGTACCTGGTCCAGAGCCATCTCAGTAAAAGCTGAGCATCTGCAAGAGGTGTGAGGCAGACATCCTCCTCTGAAAGTCTCCCTGCAGTCTGTCAGCAGCCCTGGGCTGCGCTTGCTCTGCCTCAAGATAAGGGGGAAACACAGATCAAATCCTGCCTTCATCTCAGATCATGAAGGATCACTGCATGGCAGCCAGACAGCCTCTCTGGTACCATATCCTCACTGGAGAGAGAAAAGGGCTAGAAGCTACGTTCATTTGAGACTGTGTCCACTGCTATAAAATAAGTGTGGGGAGAAGCTGGTGGCCTTTGAACAGGAGACATGCATATGGAAACTGGCAGGCTGAAAAATGAAGGAGCAGGAAACGTGATGGAGGTCAGGGGTATAACAGCAGTGCTGCTCTCCACGCAGTTTCAGGGACTGCTTAGTACTGGACATCTGGTCGAGAGCTGCTGGGCTTCAACTAATCTTTAAAAGCAAGATTTTCCAAGAGAAAGAGAGACCAATCTTGGTCTACAGCTGCTTCTCCTCGAGTCAAGTACAACAGGAATACAGTTAAGCCAGCCAAAAACCCTTGTAAATACATCCTTTTCCCCAGGTACTTGGTAATGAATGATTTCCATGAGACACATACCGTCTTCTGGTTGCTCAGATATCTTCCGTTCTGCACACACTGCATCCGACTTATCAGTCCCAGGGACTACTTCTGCCATCCCCAGAGCTGTACAGCTGAAAAGGAAAGACAAAGAGGCTAGAATCCCAAAGAGGGATCTCATCGGGGCTCCTACACCTCTGCAGAGTGTCACTTTCTGCTGTAAAGTACTCCTGCATTTCTCCACCCTTAAGAAGCTCAGGTACCTTCTTTATGCTCAGCTACACCAGCTCAGCTGTTGTTACTGCTTTCTCTTGTTCCCCTCAGGGAGCAAGACTCGAGCTCCAGCACGAGAAAGCCCTTACCACTGCACAACCAACCGAGATGCTCTGCGCACTCCCCAGACAAGCGGACACCCCCCCGAAAAGTGTGCTCGCTCGAGCATCTCACTGCCTTGTGGCTATCACAGGCCTTTTGCACGACAAAGGGACTTACTTGGTCCAGGCTTTACACTCATCCGTGGATGAAGCAACCTTTGAGAAGTAGCCTCTGGGACACGGCATACACTTCGTGTCCTTGTCTTGTTGCACTGCAAGTAGCAAAGGAAGAAAAAACATTACAGCTGAGCTTCTCTGAGTTCCTCTCAGGCCAGGGGAAGGTGACGATGCTCCCCCATCCTCCCACTTCACCCCCCCTTCCCAAAAGCTTCCCCGAGGAGGGGATCTAAAATGATGTTGGAGCAGCACTGACAGTCACACGTAAGCAGAAAAAAGTGCTCAGGTGAGACCAGCACATTCCTCTGCACGATCAGAATAAGAAATGACCAGGAGCCATTTGCAGTGACTGTGAAGTAACACGCAGCTCTTACATCCTTCCACTGCCACCAACTTCCCCATGCCGATGCTACGCCACAGGCAGCGACACGAACTGGTGTTGTCACTTCTTTGAAGCCACCGTACACACAACGCTGGATAAGGGTTTGCTAGACTGGAGGGAAAACACCACCACTGTGCTCTTGGCAGGCCCATTCAGCATTTCGTCCTCTATTGCCCCATTGTGTGCTGCTTTTTGGTGTTCCTTGTGCTTGGTACAAATGTTCCCAGTGTTCATGACAACTCAGAACTTCACTGTCCCTATTTTCCACCCACAAAACACCAGCATTTTGATCTCAGTTGGAGACCTTGTACTAAATTCAGTGCCTGCAATAAATCTTTGCATTACAAGTTGTAACAAAGAACACTTGCGCTGTCTGAAAGGTGTTTATCGCTTTTAACTCATAACATTATAGAATGGCAAACCAAAACCATTTGGCAAAAACTGATTTCGAATCTGACCTCAGCAACAATCCGCAGTGAACCACTTCTCCGAATCGTGGAGCAATGCACAAAGCGGTGATTCATAGACCAGCACCTCAGCAAACATTACAAATGCACCGAAGACCTTGTGATTATTGCCGTGCACATGTGAAAGCTTGTAAATGTCACCTGATCCAAGATGTTTTTTAAACTACAGAGACAGAAGCCCTCAAAATACAAATAGTCCTGGAGAGTTACATGCAGCAGCAATGATTTGGGAGTCTACAGTACCTGCTCTTTGACACCACAACCCACATGACGCTGGCCTTATTCTGTAGGCTGGATATTTTACTGTTGTACATCCTCTCTGTATCTTACCAGGGTGCCCAATTCCAAATCCTGGAGCACATATGGTATTGCGCTGACAGCAGTCACAGTCCTCATTCCAGTGGTAACCCGTGGTGCAGGCACACTGCCGCTGGAATGTGCTGTTTCCCGGGTTCACTTCCTTCAAGGCTTTCCCTAGAGGAGAAAGCAAACGGGGTAAATATCTCTCCGATAACAGGCCTCGTGTCTGTGAGCCTCCTGTTCTACCTATTTGCTTTGCTTGAAGGCCAGATGCGAAACCATTCAGGTTAAAGGAAAAGCTATCTTGGGGGACCCCTGATTAGCGTTAGGCACCTCATTGATTGGGCTCCCGAGCAATGCTTTTCCTTGTCGCTCCCGTAGAACATAAAGAGAGGGAGTGCACGGTAAGCTGGGCAAAAGGACAGCCTCTAAGACCCAGCTCACAGGGAGTGAACAGCCCCAGTAAAGATAATCATATCAGCAGCACGGAGACTATGGTTATGGTGTTTGGCAGGGCACAGAACCAAAACTTCCTGGTGTCTGGGGACCTCCCTGGCCACCAGGTTCTCATGCCACCTCCATTGCCATGCACCTGAACAAGGCATCTGCCCTAGACCCACTTGCTCGTCTTCGTGCCTCACTAATTTGGATTAAAAGGTCTTCCCGTGTGAGCAGCTCACCTTGATCGCATATTTTATGTAGCAAGCATTTGTCCTCTTCGTTCCAGACATCCATGTACTCGTTTGGGCCACACGGCTGACACACGCTGTCCGAAGTGGCAGTGCATTTAGCAGACATATACTTCCCTGCGAGCAAGAGAAGGACAGGCAGGTCACCCGCAAGTTGCACACCAGCTGCCTGAGAAGCACGGGGAAAATAACGAGCTGGGCTAACGCTGCTGTACTACAGGGACCACCACTTCTTCCTCTCCCCCATTCGTTTCCTCAGTTAGAGGGCTGAAACATCTTGTGAAGCTTATGGCACGGGAGCAGTCCTAGCTACACGCGCGAGAAGGGAGCTGCTTTCCATCTCCTGCAGTGGTTAAATGCTATTCCAGCACAATAGCTGCTGGGACTTTTGCTGAGGTCAGCAGGACCACTCCTGCACTACAAGACACTCATGGGCCTGAGATCATGCATTTGCAAGGCTGTGTGCAAACAGATCTGCAGAGTCACAAGAACAAGCTGCCCTACTGACCCCCAGAGCTGTTTCTAGGGAACTTTTCCCTTCACCAGGGAAGCGCAGCCCGGTGCTCACGTACCTGGCTCACACTTGGTGCAGCACCGTCCGAAGGACTCATAGTGTTGTTCGCTGTCACACAGCAGAGTGCTCTGTAGGGACAACTGCAGAGAAAAAGGAGAGAGAGGACATGAGACCCAGCACACGCAGAAAGCTTCAGCCCTGCCTTATCACAGTGCCGGCAGGCAGAAGGCAAACTTCAGTGCAGCGTTTTGGATGGCAGTAAAAACATTACTCAACGTTTGTTTTTATTATTTGTATTATTATATTTTTATTATTTTTATTACTCAACATGTAAGACTTCAAAGGCGCTTTGTAGACAGACTAAGACTACGTACGTGATCCTGTACACACAGGGACTTGCAGCGCAGCCAGGCGATAAACAAATAGCACAGTCCTGCAATTTGTCATGAACTTCTGGCCCGCTGTATAATCTGTTCTTACAGTGCTCTATTATTCGAAACCCTTGACTTCAAAACAGTTGTAAAGAAAATTGTGTTGACATACTTCCCCAGTCTCTTCTACATACATGACCTCAGATCAAGACCTAGGCTGCTGTCAGCTTTAAAACACAGCATCTGGCTAACAGGTAAAGGGAATGATTTATACCCTTGAAAAATAAGTTCCCATCTTCCCACTGGGATACACAACACCCCTGGCGAGCACCACAAAACGTTGGACTTTATTTCTGCAGCATTTTATGGTTCCCACCACGCCCTGCAGAGGTGACCTCGCTTCACAGAGGCAGCCACCCGCGGAGCCATCCTCTTCCAATGCTGGGAGGGGTCCTTGTGACTTGAAGACGACCAGAGAGGCTGATGTTTTTCTTTAAAACGCCGCCTCCTGGCTTGGAGCTTGGGCCATTTTTGCCTCGTTATTTCCTTGTCCCTGTCTTTGCACTTACTAGCAGTGTCTTGTCTGCGAGGAGGTGACGCATTTTTCGGAACAAAGGCTGCGCTTCGTGTTTGCACAGCGCCTCACACAAAGGGTCACCAGCAGCACGGCTAGGATCCTGAGGATAAGGTAAATAAGTGCATACACTGCCACAGGCTTTTCTGCTGGCTTATTCCTGACACCTTGCTCGTCTTCCCAAATATCAGGACAACAACCAGTGCTGGCACAGCAGTAAGTGTAATACCAGGAGTGTGTTTTTGGTGCCATGCTCCAGCTGCCGTGTGCTGGCCAGGTCGGGGCTGAGCCCACACCATGGTACCCAGCAGCAGGAAGGGCTGGAGGGACTGACTCCTATCCCCGGCCGTCTGCACTGGCAGCAAAAGCGACCAGACCAGGACGGGTCCAGTCACTTGCTTTTTATAACAGCCCGCTCTTTTCTTCCTCGTTCGCCCCAGTTCGAAGGTTCCTCTTTAGAAGAAAAGACTAAGAAAATGACTGGAGTGTCACAGAAGGGCACATCGTCCTTTTTAAGGAAGGATATGCAAATCTGCTGAACAACTTCCCGCTCAAGGGCCTGGAATGATTTCCGAAAACCAAGGCTCGGCCCAAACAGAGCAAGCACCCCCCTGCGCTGAGGCTCGGGGAGCAGGAGCAGGCTGGCTGCTCAGCTACCTTTAGGAAATCGATCCAGCACACAGAGGGCTCTTGTTGCAAAATCCTCCCAGCTGCATAAATCCTCGCTCTGTGTCAATAAGTATTCTCTTCGGCGGCTGTGTCCTTCCCCTTTCGGGACAAGCCAACGCATTTTCCAAGCCGCGATACTCCCTCCTTTGGTTGACGCTCAGCAAGACAAAGGCAAAGCTATCGGTGCACACGTGCTAGCTCGCTCCCTCCTCCCGAAGGAGAGGGATTTGGGCCAGGTATTTTTTGACCTGCTGAGCGTGAGAGCTGGGTGTGGGGAGGACGGGAAGGTGAAAGAACAGAATCGTGGTGTTTTCTCAGGGGGGCAGCAGCCGTGGCGAGCTGGGGGCCTCTGGTCAGCACGAAGCACGTGCGCTGCCAGCAGTGAGGCCCCGCAGCGGCAACGCCTCCCCAGCCGCAGCGCCGGGCTGAGATGGGGAAGTGCAATTCATGTCACGGAGGAGGAACTCGCACCCAGGGGCCGGACGGCTTCACAAAGGTGACAGGAAACGAGTGGCGAAGCAGGAAAGAGAAGCAAGTCTCGAGCTCGCCCTGTAACCCCTAGGGCATCCTTCCTCTCCTTGGCGCTTGCCCGTAAGCAGGAGTGATTTTGACATCTCCAAGTTCATCTCCTGGTGACAGAAAAGTTGTCAACCTCGCCTGAAGTAACAAGACAGATCGAAAAGACACAGGCTGGTCATTCCTCTAAGGCTCACTGTTGGTAGTTTTGCAATAAATACCAGCAGTGTGTGTGAATGAGTGCTCCAGTGAGGCCTGGGCATCCTGTGTCCATTTCATTCGTCACTTAAAACATGTGTGAAGCACATGTGTGTGCTCCTCTTCCTAAGAAAAGGCAGCTCTCCTGCTTAATTGGTCCTGGGCAGCCGGCCACGGCCTTGCTGGAGCAGGAGGACCGGGCCAGATGACCTCCCGAGGTCCCTTCCCACCTCAGGCATTCCCTGATTCGGTGATTTATATTTCCTCAAAACACGAATTATCCAAGAGGGGGAGAATCCGGGGGACGAAGACAAACATCCTCTGGGCTCGGCGGATTGCCACGGGGCCGGCTGGATAAAGCACGCCTACACCTCCTCACCTACAGGCACAGGAGCAGCGTCGATGGCTTCTTTGGAAAAACAGGCCTGCTCCTGTCCAGGTCTGCAGGCGGGCCGTGCTTCGGTGTCAGGCAGCTGCAGGCAGCCCTCTCAGCCTCTTTTTATTTTTCTTTTTTCCAAGTTTCTTGCACAAGGACGCTAAGCAAGAGCGTGCTTGTAGGGTGGGAGACCTCCCGTGAGTCACAGCTCCGAAGCACCGCGGCGTTACTCAGCCCCTGAAAGCACGCAGGTGCTGCTGAAGGGGGAAGCAGCAGCACTCAGAGTCCTGTCCCTGGGCTTAAGGAAATTATTCTCAGCGCTGTTGGGCAATCGGGTGACAGCAGAAGCTGTGTGTCATCGATGCTAAAATTACTTTCTCGCTCAGATGAATATTCAGACCCACATTTCAGAGAAGATAGAGTTGCACGGGCCTCTTTCCTTTAACAGAAAAAATCTGGAAGAGCAAGCTCGGGGATTTCCACGGTCTTTTTCCCATGTCACTTGGGAGCAAGAACCTGAGGCCCCAGTGGGGCTGCTCGTTAGCGATAATCTGACTTGTGCAAAAGCTGAGACGTCAAGGGACACGTCAAGGGGTAGCTAGCACAAGATGACACCTTCGTGCTTGGTGGAGTTGTTTCTGGAGAGCGTTCAAGCCACCCGTCAGCATTTCACTGAGCAAAGCACATTTTTTCTGCATTTAGGACCCAAAGCACCTATGGGAGAACGAACCACGGCACGTCCCGCCTCGCACACCTCTTGCTCTTTGAGCTCTGGGGCTTGAATTTACTCACACTGCTTGCTTTTGAGATCCTTGGCCATGCCTGCTGCAGAAGTGTGATGGTTCCATGGCTCCTTGGGCTTTATTTCTGAGCCCAAGGACCTGGCTGTAGCGTGGCACTGCTCCACGTGGCTGGCATTCCCAGGCGCCCTGCTGGGGCACCTACCTCACAGTACACAGCTCTCTGTGTTTTTATAACTGTGTGTTGGTAAGGGGGGAGAGGAATTTTACACTAAAACGGCTTGATCGTGATCACAGGGACAGCGAATGCAACAGCTCCTTCACGGCCAGGCTTCGCTGCCGACGCAAACTGGAGCAGGACAGCCCGCAAGTCGCAGCCGCACAGTGCCAGTTATTCGCCTGCAGGTCTAAAAATCCAAAGCAAAAGTCTCAGCTTGTGAATGAAATGCTTTGGGTGATGTCAACTTTCCAGTGACCAGGAAAACCACATCACAGAACTACCACCACGTGGTCAAATACAGCCGGGAAATGGCAGCGGCTGAAAACTAAATATTATTTCGCTCTTAAAAATAAGGTCCTTGAAACCCTGCTAGGGCCTGAAGGAACACGAAGAACAACACTGATAACATGAAGATTGATAGAAAACCACGACTCGCAAGCAGAAAGTGGCCAGACGGGGGTGAAATCCCCATCCTGGCTATTCCCACTGCCCACCCCGTCATAACGCGTGGCGAGGAGCAAACACCTGAGCGGCCGGTGCTGCCTGGACGAGGGGAAGGTCCGTGCCTCACTGCCAAACCCCAGGGAGCTATTTCTAGCAGGCAGGCGACGTGAGGGAGAAGTGCCTCGCTGACCACGCCGCCAGCGGGGGCACAGCAGGCAGGAACCTCAGGTGCATCAGGTGGGAGGTGAGGGAGGCGATGGGCAGTGGGGATGGAGCAGCCGGCGAGGATCGTGGCCTTCTGCGGGCTGACAGCTCGCCATCACATGCTCAGCCCCTGGCAGAGTCATCCCAGGCAGCGTGCAGAAGGGCAGACCTCTTGTATTCACTGGCTGCTCAGCAGCATCCACGTTATTATTCACGACTCATTGGGAATGGACTGAAGAAATCAAACCCGAAAGCCAACCAAACCATAATGTTTAGCAAAGAGCCTGTTTTACTACACGTGGTATTGCAGGAGAGAGCTTTTCTTTTCCTGTGAGGGCAGACTGAAGCAGGCATCTCGCTGTTCTTGCGAGCAGGCAATGAAAAGCTAGAGAGGACACGGTGCTCACAAAGGCAGAACTACGCGGTGGGGCAAAATAACAGGCCCAAAATAGATCCCCATGCACGCTACGTAAGCAATTTTGAGGACTTCATATGAACCTAGCAGCACATTTTCCCTATCTGTCTTCCAGATTAATGCCTTGCCTAACAAAACTTCACGGTATTTTTTTTTCCATACGAGATTTTTTTTTTCCCCTTTTCCCTCCATTTCGACCACTGGCTAAATATATTCTGCACCGATCTGCAGTCACAAATGTTGTTCTTTGTCATTCTTGAGCAGCCCCTATATACTTCTTTTTCTTTTGGAGTAACCACAGAGTGGTGAGGGTGAATGACCTCATTTTTTTTTTGTTCCTTCTTCATTTTTTTTTAATTTCTACCCCTCCTCGGCTACTTGTCTCTCGCAGGGTGGATTGAACCGGCCAGCTCGGCTCTCTGACCGCAGGCGAGCGCGCCACGCGGGGATGCGGCGGGGAAGGGGCATGGGGCCAGGGGCTGTGCTCGGCCAAAATTTGTGAGGAGGCCAGAGGGGACCTGGAGAAAGAAGACGAGGGCTGGGAGATGCTGCCTGCACGGTGGCAGCCCAGCCCGCTGGGGGGACGGATCTGCTCCCTTCCCAGCAGACCTCCCCGTGACTTTGGTGGGAAGGGGAGAGGGCTCTAAGCCGCGGTGATTAATGGCTCTTCAGCTGTATTTGCAGCCCTGACATCCTAAGCACTGTGCAAACAGCAGGGAAAGCCAAGCCCTGGGCCCGGAGAGCTCACGCCCTGAGAAGACAAACAGAAAGGCAACCAAGGGAAGCGCTGCGAGGAGCCGCTGAGGCCGGTGCACAGGCATGAGGCAAGGAGCAGGACACCCCGGGGTCCCTGGGGGGCTCCTGCTGCCCATGCTGACACCACACCACAGATCCCACTCCCCGGAGATGTGGCACAGGGACGAGGTGACATGTGAGCGACACACCAGGGCGCTGGCACCCCGCTGGAGGCGAAGCATCACAGCCAGCATTGCGGCAGAGCGGGCACGAGGGCAGACTGCCTGCTCGGGGTGCCGGGGCTCGCTCCTGCAGCCCACCCTGCAAGTCGGTGCCGTGCCGGTCCCAGAAGAGCCCTCCTTCCACTGCATGAACTTTGGGCCGCGTTGAGAGAAGAGCAAGTCATAAAACGGGGCACGTCCTTGCAGGCAGGCTATCGCGCCGCACTAGACCGTGGCCTACCCGAGTCCAGAGTGCAACCTGGTTAAACAGCACCGGGTTTTTTTTATCTGGCTTCCGTAACGCACAAATATTTGCCTTTGCGCTTCCCGTCGGCACTGCCGAGCCGCTCTCGGAGCAGCTGCTTCGCTGGGTTTCCATCGCGAGGAAGGGGCAGCCTGCTCAAGGAGCACGGGGCACGGCCCGTGGGGCCGCCTTTGGTGCCTCTGCCTGACCTGTGCCGCCTCGTTTCCCCGCGGCACAGCCAGAGGAAAGCCCTGTGCCGTGGGCGAGCACACCGCAGATGGCAGGCTGATAAGCTCTGAGTTCGGCTGGCCTGTGGATCGTGGCGAAGGCCCGTGCTGGGCCTCGCTGTGGGAAAGTAGAAATCGCCTCAGGAAGATGATGTTAACGCGAAAAGAGAAGCGACAACGGTTTCTTAAGTGGTGAATCGGTTCGGTTTGACACACACGGCGTTTACTCCCTTTATACGCGGTGCTGTGAAGCGTTATTTCAGATTTTCACATGAGCCAGGGGGAACCTGCAACGCAGCGAGAAGCCTGCCAGTTTCCCGCGCAGGGCCCGTTCCTGCAAGGGCATTGTGATAAGTAAAGTAATTGAATGGCAACAGCTGTTAAAATTATGCTGTTAACGCCAAAATAAATCCAGGGCTTTAGGCTAGATATGATATCGTAAATTTTGCTCTACTGGGTGACTCCTTTGGCCCTGACAAGGGCAGGAACACGGGACTGGGAAAGCCTATGATCTGACACAGCACGGACACCTCTCTGCTCTGCTTTTCTTTCTCACCATAAATACTGTGCATTTTAGGAAGTTAAAAGATAATCTACACTTTAGGCAAAATTGGCAAGATCATGGAGAATTCTGGATGCTTTTAGTGAGCAAACTTTCAAGTAGATATTACGGAGTAGTGGAAGAATCCGTCCTGCTGCCATACAAGAGAAGAGTCCTTGACATTACACCAGGTAACTGAGCTACTGCATATTTGCAAATGCACGTTCCCACAGGCTTTAGCACCCATCTGACAGAAACAATCATGCCCTTCATCCATCTGAAGCAAGGAACGGGACGTGAATCTTCTGTACAAAGAAGCTGAGCAGATCACGTTTGCTTTTGGATCTCAGAAAGCAAAATACTGCGTCCTCTGACAGCTGCCTGGGACGACTCACTTGGAAAGATCATCTTGAGGCTGAAGCACAAGACAAGGAGGGCTGAGCTTTGCTCCCAGTAGTTCTGCTCCATGCTTGGTATGTGACCTACAGCAAGTCACGAATTCTCTGTTCCTGCTTCCTCTTTGGTGAACATGATGACGATGATAATGCCTATTCTCAGCAGCGTTGTGAGTACCTACTAACTTACATTCGCAAGTGTTTCTCATTCCTCACAGGAAATACATTGCACATATTGCTGGCCTACCACCACCCCACCACACTGTTGACCCTAACACCAAGTGCATCAGGCAAATGTCAGCCCTGCCACGCTTATTCTCATAGCTTGTTCCATCAGAAAAGTCCACCCATGAGGGGATTACAAAAGGCACTGTTCAAATCAGTCAGCCAAAGGAGAACCTGAAAGGTGCCTGGGAGCAGCGTCTATCCAGGCCTACCTTGCGTCCTCCTGCTTGACTTTCAGGACTGTGGCAGAGAAGCTATTAGATCAGCTAGATCTGTGACAATATACAGCTTTTCCTACCTAAACTTGACTACAACTTTACTATTTTGTACTGCTACTTGTCTAAAACATTGGCACTGGGAAGCTGTACCCTATGCAATCCCCAACAGACTCAGAACTAAGCACGTGCTGAAAGACTTTACACATCAGTCCCAAACAAATACACATTCCCCGTTCTGCATCTTCTGAAGGGCTACGAATTGAAAGACAAGAAATGATGAGAGGTAACTACTGGCTCCTACACCAAGGTACCTGAAATGGTGAGATGTAAAGCACGGAAATCTGAATTTGTAAGGTTTGGTCAAGAGGAGCAGGTTTCGGGCAATTCCAGCACAATTACCCCAAACCCAAATAGCTCCAAAAAGAAGAAAATGCCATGGCTAATGATCACCAGGTCTGCTTGCCATGCTGCACTGAACACAGTCCTGGACACCAGCACAGAAAACAGGTAGATACAGAAGCTGCTGCGGGACAGGACAAAGTGCCTGAAAGCTGTGATGCAAAAGTGACTTGTGAAACATGCAGGCTCGTTCGTACACATATGGAGGACACCTGGAAAGCAGCAATTTCGGAGAAGCCTAAGGAGTGAGGGCGGACAGAAAGAAACATATATTTTGGTGGGGAAAAAAGGCCTGTGCGGTTTCAGGCAACATATTTAGGAACAGGGATCCAGAGGGAAGGCTCTCAGGACTGTGTGGTCAGACATTAAATTGAAAGCTGCAGACAGCAGAGCCTTTTTTTTTCTCCCTTAATCTTTTTTTTTTTTTCCTTGAAGCTGCACCTTGCTCTCAAGGGACGCTGACACGGCCCATGCAACAGCACCGAGTTTAAGGTGGCACTTAAAATGACACTCACACCTAATCAAGAATAATGAGATGGAGAGAAACGGTAGAAATAAATACAAACGGCAGCAAGGCTGCCAAACATTTGATTAATGTCATAAATCGTGTAATGAAGCGTTTGCAGCATGGGCTTAGCAGAAAAGCAGCCAGCACGCAGGGCTCAGCGGGCAGCAGGAGGGGCTCGGTGGGCACAGGGGAGGCCAAACCCGGTGCCATCTCTCCCCTCGAAGCCCAAGAGCCATGCAGCACCTCCAAAACTCACGGGGCCATCGCTTTTTGGCTCCCGGGCCACCCCAAGGGGCAGGCACCCAGCGGGTCCCCGTCCTCCAGCCACGGGGCTCCCACGGCGGCTGCGGGTGCTGGGGACAGGCGAGGCGCCCCGGCTGCAGCCGCCGGCTAGGGTGGAGCCCGCCTTGTTTTATTTTTTATTTATTTATTTAAACTATCCGTGCAAATTATACCCCTCGGCAACCCCGCTGCTGGCTTCTCACACCCCGCCGGCTCCCCGGAGCCGAGAACCGAGCCGGGCGGCCAAGGGGGGGAGCGAGCAAACCGGGGGGGAGCCGAGCCGGGAGCGGGGGAAAGGGAGCATGAGGAGAAAGAGATCCCCTCCTTACCTGCTGCTGTCCCGCGGCGGCCAGGCAGAGCAGCGCCAGCCAGCCCGGGGGGCCCGGCATGGCTGCGGGGCCCGGCCCGGCCCGGCCCGGCTCTGGGGCCGCGCTAGCGCCGGGCAGCCGAGCCCCAGCGCCCCGGCGGCGGGGCCAGGCGCATCGGGCGGCTTCACTTCTCCTTCTGCCGCTCCTTCCTCTCAGCTACGCCAGGGGAGAAGAGAGAAGGAGAAGAAGGAGAAGGAGAAGAAAAAAAAAAAAAAAAAAAAAAGAGCCTGCCTGTAGTTCCCACAGCATTTCCTCAGACTTGACATGCAGGTTTTGTTGGGTTTTGGTTTTTTTTTTTTTCTTTTTCTTCTTTGATTTGTTGGTATGTGTTTTTTTTTTTTTTTTTTCCCTTCTTCTCGTCCCTCCCTTTCCTTTCTCCACCCCCTTTTAGTCACCATACCCACGTCCCTCCTCCTGCCTCTGGGCACAGCTCTCCCTGTCCCGCTCTACAGGGCTCCCACCTGCCTCCCACCACAGTTTGGGACGTGGCCTCCCCAAAATCCGCTGCCCACCCAGCCATCGCCTGCTCCTTCACAGCACTTCTAGCTGTTTCCTCATGCTATCTGAAGACATCTGGGGGCTCAGAGAGCCTCCAACAGCCTCCAGCTTCCCTCAACCTTCATGCACCCGCATGGCCCTGGAGGCTGTGAAGCCAGCCCCGTTTACTCTTCCTAAAGCTCCTTTCCACGCTTAAAACCTTCTCAGCACCCTCTGCACTGCTCGCCCTGACATGAGGTTGATGCCCCACACCACGCTGATTCTCCTGGCCCAGGGCTGGCAGCTGGTGCTGCTGCCCCTTCACCTCAAGAGCAGCCAGGCCAGGGGTGTGCTGCGGGGCTTTAGGGAGCTGTAAGGCTTGCAGTTGTAGGATCAGAGCCCAGCTGAGCTGCCAGAAGATTCATGGCCTCTACGCACACAGGCTGGCCAGCCCGCAGCCCTTCTGCTGAACAGAGCAATAGGAGGACAGGGGGAAGGCCACGGTGCTGAGTGTGCGCAGGGGGTGATGCACAACGCCTCCTTCACCCGGCGCTTCGTGAGGCAGCACGTGAGGCCTCGGTACCGCAGCTACCTGAGGATGCTGAGGATGGCTTTTGCTCCTGGGGGGAGACCAGTGGAGATCCTTGTGCCAGAGCCACCTCCCCACTGGCAGCAGCTCACTTTTTTGAAGTGCTTGTATTTGACACACAAGGAAATGCTTCTTTTTAAACAGAACAAGCTGTTAAGTCTCTTCCCCTTTTCACATTTAGCACAATACCAAGGCTATGAGCAGTGTTTATTTACCAGCTGCTCACTCTAACCACAGATTTACAGGAGCAAGCTCGTTGTCACCAGCAGTTAGACGCCTTGTCCTCTGCCTGGGAAGGTGCTGAGGGCAGCCCAGCCCTGCTCAGTGCAGTGCTGCTCCAGGCACTTCACTGTTACACAGCAGCTTCATTATTTTCACATTCTGATCCTCAATCTTGCCTGAAGTATTTGCTGAAATTTTTCTCTCTCTTTTTTTCTTTTTTCCCTTCCTTTTTTTTTTTTTTTTTTTTTTTTTCCTCCTTTCCACTATCTGAAAACAGCCTCTTTTGGAAAGCTCAGACATTTTCCTCTGAGTTAAATTTTATGTTTCTGAGCCAAAAACCACAGAAGCCACCACTGGGTGCTTTATAGTCTTAATTATGTATTGCAGGAGATTGTTAGAAACTGAAATGCGAATGCTTGGAAATATAAACTAGAGAACATATAGGAGAAAGTGTTATCAATGCTCTTTCATTTATTGCATTTATAATTCTGTGCAGCACAAGTAAAAAACAAAGATTTACACCAAAACTGTTTTTTTCAGCTTTTATTTTATAGAAAAGATACATTTTGTATTATCGAGTACTGTTTTTTGTTTTTGTTTTCAGCTAGCTTTGCAAAACACATACTTCGAATAAAGATGAAATACCTGAAATCTGAAAGTTTTGAACTTCTGATGGCAGCTGGGTGCCTGCTGTTTCCATTCACTACTGTGATGTGCAAGACTCTCCTGGGCTATCCTTTGCAGTGCTCTTTTTAAAGAAGAGGGATGGAAAACCACGTGCAGCCTTACAGGTGTGACGGATTCAAAATACCCTATTTGATACCAGGACCCCTTCCTTTGTGAAGTCTGCCACAGAAACAAACCAGCAGAGCAGTCGATAAATTAGCAGTGGCATGGTTTGTTAGTACAGATCTCTTCTTACCTCCTTCCTAGCAAGAGAGAAGTAGAAATTGCATGCCAAAAATATGTCAAAGAAGTACAGCAGTCAGTGCCGTATTGTGAGTTTTACAACTGTCTGAAAATGAAGCAATTTCAGCAGTGGTGTGCAAACGCCTCTTTTCCCAGAGCTTGGATAAACAGTGACTAATTCCCAGACAACCAGCCAACTTGACTCCTGTCATTCAGACATTTTCAACCTGAAAAGCAAAGATAAAGTCTGTTTTGGTAGATACAGCAATCGAATGCAAACAACGCCTCTACACACGTGAACAGGCTCACGTTCACATCCCCAGGCAGGCTTTCACTGGGTCTCCATTGAAAAATTCAATGATGTACCCCCCCAAAAAATCTATACACAGAAAACACCGTCAACTTGAAACTGTCTTCTTCCTCTGAAGTACACATTTCCACAGCAGACTATTGCCCAATCTGCCTAAGATTTTCAGACGCACACATTATTTTTCATGACAGAGCAACTATCAGGAAGCTTGTAAGGCACATATGGTGTGGGTTACACCAAACACACTTCTGACAATCCCACAGAAACGTACCAGAGCGGAGTGCCTGTCAGAAACCTGAAGTCTGCCACATTCAGAAGGAGCAAGCGCACAACTAGCCGCTGCTAACACACCGAATGTTTGAAGCATGTGCAAGCACTCATTGAACTGATACCTTATCACCGACGTTATCACCTGTGGTGATAACCATGCCTGCATACTTCTGGAAGGAAATACAAACGTCGTGGTGAATTTTTAACTTTGAACATTTGTTCGCGCTGGTGCTGACCTCCAAGGCTGAAGTCCTACGTTCATCCTTAGGACAAGAGCAGCAGTGGCAGTGCTGGGAGCTTTCCCTGTGCTGCCCAGAGCACCGACTTCTGTGCAGCCTGGAGATGCATCTGGGCGTACTCAAATCCACAGCAAGCAGTCCTATTTGTACGCACAAAGGACTTAAACAGTAGAATTAAAAAAGGGCATCTGCCTCTGGGACGGAGATGTTGGAGGATGTCCTGCTGGGGATGCTGGTGTCCCAAAGCGTGCCTCTCGCAGGTTAGGGTGCAGGCCAGCCCCAAGGGTGGAAGGTGAGGGAGACGGTGAGGAGTGCACACAATGCATGTGCTGGGAAATGAAACAGCCAGGTTCACGAATCACATTTTCAAGTCACTGATTTCTACTGTGTAACTGCTCTTGCTCAAGCTTTCTACAAACTGGAAATCTTCAGCCAGAGGAAACTTTCCACTACATTGAAAGTACGACACAAGTTCAAGCTCAGTACGCAGTCCAGGCACCTCCAGCGAACCGCGCTGTTTGCCACTGACCTGCAGGCCTTTTACAAACTCTGTAGGCAGAACCACCTTTCGTACAGCTTCCTTGTGAATACTGGAGAGCATCAAACGTAAAGGCAGGGCGCTTTAGAAACAGTTTCCCTGGAAAATGATTAGTCATTAGTGGTTACTTGTTGAGATTTGCTAACCCCTGATACATTGCCATACGCTACTGAAATCCAGGACCTGGCTGGCCAATGTACGGGAAAACAACGCTCCTCCATGCCTCTGTCAGCCAATTTCATTGCCTAAAACAAACTAGCTACTCCTATCTTTTTCATGACCTGAATGTTAGCTAGAAATACCAGCCAAACACACTCAGCAAGCCAACAAACCAGTTTCCTTGACACGCTGTTGCCTGACACGATCCTGCAGTTCATCAGTTATCCTGTGATTCTGTCTAGGATGAACGCCGTGCCAGTCAGCCCATTATATCAGCATAACAGCAGCTTTCTACTCCATGAAGCTTTCTCATCGTTACTTCAGTATCAACATCAGCAAGTTTTATACAGAAAAATACTTAAAACACCTTCAATGAAAGATAGCCATTTTTAGAAACTGCACTAAAACTCCTAGAACCGAAAAATCCTAACACCATCACAACATGGAGTACAGAAATATTCCACATTTCTGCTTTTTCTGCACCATTATTAAACCTTATCTGCACGTAGCAACAAATTCCGATACAATAATTCTTCCCCCTTCTTCACCAGAGATTATTTCACCTGTAAGCCTTTGAGGTCTTTAAAAGATGTTTAGATGTAGAGCTTAGGGATATGGTTTAGTGGAGGACTGGTTAGTGTTAGGTCAGAGGTTGGACTTGGTGATCTTGGAGGTCTCTTCCAACCTAGATGATTCTGTGATTTTCTCAAAGACCTCCCTTAATTCTCATTGATTAGAATATAAAAAAATATTAACTTACTTTACTTAAAATTTAGAAAACAATCTCTTTCAGAACAGAGTACATGCAAATAATGACTCGTATCTAATCCACACAAAACATATTTAGATCATGAACACTCACCCAGGCAGCCGTGTATCTTCCACCCATCGACCATCTTTGTCTAAGAGCACAGGAGTTGATCCTTTAAATTTTGTCTTTTAACATTTTGTCTTTTACAGAATCCTTATTTTAGCAAAATTATAAGCGACTGAAGATAAGTCTTTGAGGATGAATTCCTTTCCATGCTGACTATCCATCTGTCTTGCTTTAGTGAAGCACTTTTGCTCAGAAGGTTCACTCGACTTGTTTTATATAACAGGAAGAAAACAAGTCGATTTTAAAGAAAAAAAAATACATATATATTTAATTTAAGAGCTCTAAATCTTTACTATCTCACTGCTGAATGCAACAGTACCACTGCTTGGAGGAAAAACAAAAACAACACTACCCCCCTCCACCCCCCAAAGGAAAAAAACAACATACACTAAGAGACATGAAATTTAGGAGGTTAAACTCCTGGAGACTACCTGCAAGATGATTGTTGCCTAAAAAAGCACTTTTTTCAGCTCAGTGGTCATGACAACGGAGCTGGTTTTTCTGGGGTTTCTCAGTCAAATTCCTCCTTGGATCAGCTAGTATGGAGTAAAACGCTGACTACCGAAAGCTAAACTTTGCAAGTTTACAGATGCTACATTTACACTCATAAACTAAGGAGGCTCTCATGCCACAATCACCCATGGTTAAATTGCTGTCACAGCTTTTTGGCTTGTGCTGATCAGCAGGTTTCCAAACTCTGGCTGAAGTGCAGTGGGGGCTACGAACCACTCTCACAGGCAGGCTGCACG